CACCCTTGAAAAAAAAATGCAGTTAGATGTTGGTCTAGAACTTTTTTATATGTTTGTTTTCTTGGAACTTACTTTCATTTCTCCTTTACCTTTTGGTAGCATATTTTTTTTGCGATAAAAATGACAAAAGGTTGAAAAAAAATGCAGTTAGAAGTTGGTCCGAAACTTTTTTATATATTTGTTTTCTTGGAACTTACTTTCATTTCTCCTTTACCTTTTTGATAGCATATTTTTTTGTGATAAAAATAACAAAAGGTTGAAGATGGTAAATGATTTGCGACTTCAAAAAGTGATTTTTTTTTTTGAGTATTTTAAGAGTCAAATCACACAAAAATGTCATGCTTCCCCTATTATTAGTATATATATATATATATAAAAACTAACTTTTTGGGCTTTCATCCAAAACATGTCACATGAAAATGTATCAATCTAAAAATAGATATTACTTTCAGATTCTTAATTCAAAAAGACTATTCATATTAAAGAAAATAAAAAATTTACAACAATATTCAAGTTAATATATTATAGCAAATATGTTACATCTAATTAATTAAAATAGATCAATTTTTAAAAATATTACACAAATTTTATCCTTTTTAAAAAATATTACTCTAAAAACAGGTGATATATAAGAACAAAATAGTTATCTCCATAGTTAATTTAACTAATTTTGAATGTTAAATTAAATTAGATTAATTTAATATTTTAATATTAAAAATTATGATAGAAAATCACATCTTAAAAATGTTGGTCAAAATTCATATCATTTGATTCTGTAACAAATATTTTGGAAGGAGTACAATATATATATAGTTTTAAAGGAATAATAATATTTTAGTTAGTTAAATAGTGACAGTTACATAATTATTCCCTCAGTCCGTCTCATATTAAATGATTTATTGCTTTTCATTTGTTGATAATTAATTTAATAAATTAACAATTAAATTAGATGGATAATAATTTTTTTACAAAATAATCTATCATACTAGAAATGAACTTTTTTTAATTTTAGATTGGTTCTTTAGTTCCAATAATATCTAAGATTCTTTTTTAATCAACAAAATTAAAAAGAGAAAACATAAGAGGTCTTTTTTTATTTGCACTTGTAATAGACTAATGCAACATAAAATAATGATATCAATTTTCGAAGAGGTGAAGGAGGAAGAAAGAATATCCCTTCCCTTTTACTAAATCATAGTCCTGAATAGTTCGACAGATAAATTAAGTTGACGTGATGATACTTTTGAGACTGATTGGATCTATCCTAGACAACTAAGAGATCTTTGGCTTGCCTATATGTCTTTCTAGGGTACACACAATTTCTTGTAGCTTGTCGCTCACCTGGACCAAAAAAGAACTTGCTAATTTTTCAATCAAAATCATTTTATCTCATGCTACTTGCCAAAAATGAGATTAGAATAACTAAATTAATGTAATCTTTGTCTAAACTTGAGTAAATAAGTCATACTCCCTCCCTCTTCACATATTAATTAAACACCTTTACCCAATACACATGAACAAATCATCGTTGATCACAGTGAGACCAGTTCACATATGCAAAAAACTACGAAACAAAAAGAAGTAGAGGGCAAACATTGGGTGAAGAACATAAAAATAGATGTTACGAATCGAAAGAGAACTCTGAAAAAGTATTATACCACAAACATGAATTCACCAAAAAACTAAAAAGTTCTTCATGCCGTCTCTGAGGTTAGCCAAAAAGGAGCAAGCAATCAAGGTATGGTGATTTCTGAGGGTTGTCCCATCAAGAACTTTAAGCAATCCCTGCATCATCAAACAAAAACAAACTTTGTAAGTTTCTCAAAATGAGTTAAAGTTTATCGATGTAATGTGTAAATTCAACATTTAAGATGTATGCAAAAGGTAGAAATCCTACAAGAAAGCATGTTTCTTTACTATTAGCATCTACAGTCTACACTAACTGCAATATTTGAACTACTCAAACAATATCCGAAGAACAAAAAATCCTATAAGAAAGCCCGTGTTGTTACGAATAGCATCCAGTCATGAACACTAACTGGAATATTAGAAATACTCCAATCCAAAGAACAAAAATGTTCTACTAAGCTGTAAGTAAAAAATGCAACTCCATCAAACACTCTTTCCATATTATCCACAAAGTACTAAAGGAGCTACTTCCATGCTCTCCTTCTCTTCCTTGCCGTGCTTGATATCACTTAATTCACTTCAGACACACTCCACAGTCTACACTATAGAGTATATAATAATTGTCTACAGATGCCAAAAGTATGACCGGTCAATTCGTAATTCAAAGATTGATAGACAAATTAACAAAGGAAGAAATTAGCAATTGAATAAAGGCAACAAATATTCTAATACTTTCATCAGTAATGAGGGAGGGAAAAACAATTGTCTCATAGAAGATAAGTAAATCAGTTCAGGAGTCGAGGTTAATAAATTTTCTGTGTTACCCTTCCTAAAAATTATCATAGCTCTACAGGATCGATATGCTATTACTTTTTTTTCTGTGACAAAAATGACATAATGTTGATTTCCAAGTTCCATATATTCTTCTGTTTTCGAGAATGACAAATGACAAAAGAAAAAAATGAAAATGAACAAAGGTCCATATATTCTTCTGTTAGTATTTCACATGTATCATTATTGATTCAAAGTCCAGCTTAAAAACTAAAAAGCGCCAAGACCAGGGAATACAGTTCTCAGTATGTGTTCACCCTTTTTATTAAATCTCAAAAACTCTTCCGCAAGATCAATAGAACTCTATATTTTTTTATAAGGAAAGGTTAATAGAATTGGACCAATGTTTTCTTAAATAGTGCTATTGGCTAAGCCAGTATGTGTCTCGACTAGTTCACAAATCAGTTTGTTACAACCACAAGTACATTTGCTGGGGACCTTTGCACTAATGCTATTATGGAAGTATTATAGTAAGAATGAATACCTAGGATACATGTTAACTTCTCAACGGATTCTCTATCATCTCTTTTTTTTTTTTTTTTGTTTTAATTAATTGGTCTATGTTATAGGATAATAAGATGGTTAGAAATCTGAAAGAAGCTAAGAGCAGCACTAATACACAAGCATCTCAACCAATTGAACAGAATTAACTAAAGTAATCAGTAGACTTAGTTCACACAGTAATTAACACATCAGAGTTAATGTGCTAAGTTCCCGGAGTTCCTGTATAACACGTTCACGAGCACATAAAATAAGAAAATGAAGCAATGACAACATCTAAAAGTGGGAGCTGAGAACCTACACATAGCAAGTATATATAATATATGTACTTATGTAGTAACATAAACTGGAGTATAATGATAAATTGATCATCAAACCTTGTGACTCTTTTGCGCGCCAATTTATCTTGAGCATCTTGCTTCTTAACAGGTAGCATCCCTCCAATCAGAAATAGGCTCTCTGAATAATCAACAATCACATATGATCCATCCTTATTATTATCAAAGCTGAATTTTTCCTTGATTGAACTAGTTATGGGATCACACAAGAATATCACTCCATTTTCATTCTTAGCTACAATGTCACCATTCCTCAAACAGCCCAATATTAGGTCAAACCCGACTAACGGTCCAACACTGTATTTCTTACTCCAACCATCTACATCATCCATTACCCAAACATCCATATGACAATCATCTTTATGATCCCAGTCTAACATACAAAGAGAACCCTCCAATTCCACAAGATATTGATGCTTCTTACGCCTTCCTATCGAAGGTAACTTCTCAAAAACTAGTTTCCCCACATCAAATCGCACAAACACAGCACGCGATCCGAACTTATCAGGCATACAAACCAACCAATACGCCACCCCTTTAACAATCACATTGCAAGTAAACTCAAGAATATGAAAAATCATCTCATTTTTCAGCTTCTTCCATTTCCCACTCTTACTCGAATACATCTCAACATGGTTCGGGACTGCATACATTATGCCCACACAAAATATTCTCAAGATCAACAAATCATTATGTTGGAAATCAAAAGCCATTCCAATAGACGCCAAAAAGTGCAGTCCCTGACGGGGCAAGCTATCAGTGAGCTCCACCATCTTATACTTCCTCATCGCCGGGTTCCAAAGGGTAATCAGTTCACCCCATGGTGGATTAAAAAGGCAGATAAAGCCATTGCAAGGACCCACAATGTACATATTGGGGAAGAAACAGGGGAAAGGGCTGTCCACCTGGACAACTGATTCCGGCGGGTTGTATAGTGAGACTACATGATGATTAGACTCGCGATGACGGCTGCCTATAAGAATAGATGAACCGGAGAACTGCAAAGAAGAAGAGTGACGGAAATGTGAGGCGATGAAATCGGGTTTGGAAATGAGGTTTCGCCATTGCTTGCTAACACACCTGAATCGTAAAAGGGTTTTGACAGGGAGACGGGAAAGGATGTTAGAGATGATTTCTCTTGGGAAATAGAAGTGGGAAGTTGGTTCTGGTTCTGCTGCAGCTCTGCATTTTGGTTCTTTTGAAGTCCCTTTTCCTTTACCTTTACTTTTACCTTTCTTCTTCCCATTTCCTTTGCCTTTAGGAGGCATCTTGGAAGCAGGAAAAGGGTTTTACAAAATCACAGTAACAATGTTGACAAAGAAGAAGGGTTTTAGGGTTGCAAAATCAGAGCATGTATTTGTCTTTTGTGACAGAACTGGGGACTCGACAGAGACCTGTAGGTTTTGGCATCAGCTCTGAATAAAGGAAGGATACAATACAGAATTTGTACTGTATTCTGTGATATTGTTGGGATGAATAATTATATGATTTTTCAGGTTACATATTTTGTTTCGTGCATTTTTTTAAATCTATTTGGTATTAAGGTATGTATAATTTTAACATGCATTTACATGATTAAAGATACAATTGCCTTTTGTGCCACAATAAACAAGAAGAAATTGTTGTGCTGTTCAATTCTGTATTTTGGAACACAAGCCAAATTTATATGCAAGATCGAAAATTCGATTTTAGCAAGTCAAATGTTTATATAAGAGCTAGGTAACTCAATTCATTCATAAGTCAAATGCAAAATCTCAAGACTTACAATCTCTTATCTTGAAATTTCCATATTTTTACCAGTCCAAATTCAAGTACACTTGAGCCTAGCCTTGAGTTTGTTTTGGAGGTTGAATGGTGTACAAGGAGTTGAGCTGCCTACTTATTAGCATGCTGTTATTGAGAGCCATTTGGAGTTCCAAGTCATCAGACCACCATTGTTTAAGCCTATGTGCCTCAAGAAACCTCTGCTTTGCCTTTGACACCACAAAAAGCTTTACACCGGTTAGCGCATTTCCACCAGGTTTTACTTCTTTCTCCTTATTACCAATATTGAAACTATTGTTTTGTACTCCATCTGGATAATTGTAGTAGCAGCATATGTAGTCACTTGTGTTAACATACAAATGAGGCATAGGCAGCATTTGCTTAAGCTCTGAAGTGATTCTTGATTCTGTAGATTCAGCTGCATCCTCTGCGATGCTCTTGCTATGAAACTCTGAGTTAGAAGGAAGCATTGATTTGAACCTTTTCCACACAAATCCAGCTTTTCCACTCAAGATTCTATAACTCATGGCCAATGAAACAGATGGTGGATTGAAAAGATGTGCTTCTACATAAGTTCCTTCAGCAGCTAACGCCTTGTATACCTCGAGAGCAAAACCAGCTCCTAATGAGTGCCCTGTGATGGACACATTTTTGCTCCCTTGCTGGTTGAAGATGATTGATTTTAGAGCCGTTAAGAGTCTTTCGAATCTGAAGGATCCTTTGAGACTTTCCCATGCTAAGTAACGTAGATCATCCTCGACGTCTCTCCTTATTGTGGGGTTCTTCAAGAGTGTTCCTCTGATGGCTAATACCACTTTTGGTGCACCAGTTGGTCTTATTGGTATAAAATCAGCCAGGGCTGCTGCTTGATCCCATTCCAAAACTGCAGCAAATATCGAACCATCTCTTTCATCTACAAGGGGTTCAACCAGTTTGTACTTAAAGGGTGTCCACCACTGTGGTGCAAGGGCAGTTTCTAGGCCGTACCTATTTTCTTGTCTGTCTAGTTCAAGCAAGTATGCTGATTGTACAAAACAGGCCATCACTACTCTTTTGTAGCTTTCGTTCTTCCTGCACATTCTATACACCATCATAAGTAGTACTAAGAATTGAAATCTCAACGAAGACATGAAATGATAAAACGGAAACTAACCAACTGGAGCTGATGAGTTCTCTCCATCCAGGAGAAGAAATGTGTCGAGGACCAAATACATGGAAGGCCTTGGGATGGTACTGGAAAGAATGGTTTCTCTCCATGGAATTTTTTCTGAAGGACCAATATGTTCTCATGCAGTCACTTCTTTTTTCTTGAGTTTCTTAATAAGGTGGAGGTTGTATGTAGCAAATAAAATGTGACAAACCAGTCTTCATAAAAGAGAAGAAAATACACTTCCCAACGCCTAAAAGGGAATCACTTTTGCATTTCATATAATTTATATATGGTATCGGATACCAGTGAATTAATATGGATTCTTCTGCCATATCTTATACATATTATAACAAAATGCAAGTGTTTTATCTTGGTAAAGAACACTCAACCTTGCAAAATTAGTCATGTCTGATCTTATTCTATTCCTATAGATCAGCTTACAACAGAATCTGATTCTGTTTTGCTCTGAATGACCTAAAAGAAAACTAGCATAATGCTCTAGGAATACATCTATCTATATATAAATGGTTTCTTTGTCCTAATGTTTCGCATGCTCTTTCATTTATATTATCTGATGAACACCTTATCGAATCTCAAGGATAAGACGAAGATCCACGACATCATTAAACAAATGTTTGTCGAGTCTCTAAATATTTTAATCTCCTTTTTCTCTCATCCTATTCGGTTCTAGTTCATGAAAATTTTATTTAAAAGCGATCTCTTTGAATCTTTCTTTATTTGAATGAATCTGGCAATAAAATAGGATATCATAACTTCCATCTTAATTTGACAACCGCCACACCAATATCCTGAGAAACCTGGTTAAGGAAAATAGACAGGTGAATCGTGATTGCCTTGTCCCCCTACTATCGATGTTATAAGAAAATATTCAACAATATTATATTTCTTAATATTATTTTAGTATAAGAAATTACACGAATTAGTTATTTCGTTATTTCTTATATCTGAACTTTATTTTTAAAAATTAATTATCATCCATTATTTAAATTTTACTGACCTAAATGACTAATAAATACTTGATCAGTGAAAAACAATAATGACAGTCTACTCCTATATTTGGGGATAAAGCGTAAGCAAATCTTATTTTTACCTCATGAGATAGAAAAGTTTTTGAAAGACCTCGACTCAGGTAACGCCTATAAAAAATCATACGGAAGAAAAGAGGTTAACAAGTACTCCATCCGTTTAAAAAAGAATGACCTCCTTTCCTTTTTAGTCCGTTTCAAAAAGAATGACCTATTTTCTTTTTGGTAACATTTTAATTTCAGTTTTCCACGTGACATGTTTAAAGCCACAAGATTGAAAGACAATTCAGTACATTTGATATAATTTTAATTTATGACCACAAGATTCAAAAATCTTCTTTATTTTTTAAAACTTTGTGTCAAGTCAAATCAGATCATTCTTTTTTAAACGGAGGGAGTACTTATTAGAGTAAGCATCATATAACATACCAGGAAAAGAAGCATTAAAAGTAATATGAAAATCAAAACACAAGACACAATATATAACAACTAGGGGTGACAGAATAGGTAATTAATATGGGTATCCAACTCATTTAAAAATGGGTAAAAACATATAATACCCAGATTATCCATTTAAAGGTGGATAGTTAAATAGATAAAATGGGTAAAAAATGTTCATTTACACAAAAAAAAAAAGAGTGCTAAAGAGTGGGGTAGTAAGTAAGTCTATTTTTTTTACATTTTTATATGTTATTTTTTTTTTGGGATAGGAAGGTGGGGGGGTTGGTAGGGTGGTGGGTGGTTGTTATTTAAAAAAAAAAAAAATTAATGGAAAAAATTTAAAATTTTGTTAATTATTTTTTGGATGGGGTGTGGGAGGTGGTTGGTAGGGTGTGGGGTGGTAAATTTTTTTTAAATTTCTTTTTTTTATTTTTATTTTTTGGGATTGGGGTAGGGGGTGGAGTGAAGCGATGAAAAAACTTTAATTTTTTTTTTGTTTTTAAAGATTTTAACAAGATTTCTATTATAACATGAGTAATTATGAGTATCCATATTATCCATTGGGTAATTCATTTTTATCCATTTAAAATGTGAGTCGAGTCGAGTAATTTATCCATTTTTATTTAACTCATTTTTTATCGACTCATATTCGACTCGACTCACTCGTTTGTCACTCCTAATAGCAACATAAAACACAAAAAATATCAAAACTACATGTATTAAAGGAGAAACATGAAAGAGTCAGGGCGGGATTTATGCTTTAGAAAGTAAGGCCTTTGCCTTGGGCCCCCAAATTTTAGTGAAGAATAAATTATGTGTTAATATTTTTATAAAAAAAATTTGATCATTTATGATAAAAAAGTATATATTTTTTTAAAATAAATTATTTTATCCACTTTAACATTTTTTGTACTTTGTTAAAAATAAGAATTAATAGTAAAAAGTGTTGACCAAAGTGAATTACAAATTCTTTTTTATTTCTTTTTAAATTTTAGTTTCAAGCATTACTACACGCATATTAATATGAGGTATACCAAGTCATCAACTTCTTGAGTCAAATTCTGTGGTTCTGACTCTTATCTTTATTTAATATTTATCGACTTATCACTTATGGCATTCTGTTAACAATACATATAATAATTGCCTCACTTAAATGATGTTTTTTCAATGTTGAGTTGATAAAATCTTACTTAAAACTAGTAACTGAAAAAACAATATTAAATACGAATAATTTTCATCTAGATAGTGCAGGAAAAATAATTTTTGAATAAATACGTATATGAAGTTTATTTATATTTTAGGCCGCGAATTGAAATTTCGCTTTAAGCCCCCAATTACGTTGAGCCGCCCCTGAAAAGAGTGCCAAACAACCAAGTCTACATCGCAAGAAAGCAAGACAATGGTCAACTATCCACAACTTTTTATTCAAGTTAGTGACCTCTAAATCCTCCTGAAGATGTTTTATCTTGTTTCAAATTACATGTCTTCGATATATGTCTATCCCTCGAACCCACTATCATCAATCTGAACCACTCTATAACGGAGCCTCTTCACATGTCCATATTATCTCAGTCTGATTATCCTTATTTTATCCACCACAAAAATCACTCCTACTTATCTCTAGTGTCATTATTTCTAATCTTGTTTGTTCTAGTATGCGCACACATCCACGTCATAATTCTCAGTTCCATAACCCTTGGGAATTTTTAATTGGCCAACTTTTTTCCCTCTTCATGCCAAGAGTCAAAACTAAATCTGTCAGCATCCCCAAAATTGTCTTTGTCGATTCACAAATCCCTTTCTCGTCTTCACCTTTCTAGCAAAGATGGCAGCTAAAGGCAAAGGAAATGGGAAAAGGAAAGGGAAAGGGAAAGGGAATTCCAAGAAAACAAAGAGCAAACCTCCGGACCCAACATCCGACTGCATTTTCCCTAGAGAAACCATCTCTAACATCCTTTCTCATCTCCCTGTCAAGACCCTTTTACGATTCAGGTGTGTTTGCAAGCCATGGCGGAACCTCATTTCCAAACCCAACTTCATAGACACCCATTTACACCGTTCCTCTTCTTTGCAGCCCACTAATTCTCCAATTCTTATACACACCCGCCATGTCAAGTCCACCGATCATGTACTCTCACTATTCGACTCGCCGGAATCATCAGTTACCGAACTCGATAACCCTTTTCCTTTCTTCTTTCACGAGATGGCCGTTGTGGGTTCATGCAATGGCATTGTTTGCCTTTGTAAGCCACCTTGGGGTGATGTAATCACTCTTTGGAACCCAATGATGAGGAAGTGTATGGCGGTGCAGCTTTCGAAGAAGAAACCCCTAATGGGAGTGCACTCTGGTGTATCCATTGGGTTGGCGTACGATTCACAAGAGAATGATTTCATTATCTTAAGTCTTTTGTGTTTCAGGGTAGGATCTAGGGTTCCGGATGAAGTGGAAATGTGTTCGACAAAGAGTTTCTGTTGGAAGCAGGTGAAAAATGAGGTGGGGTTTAGAGTTCTTGGGCCCTGTTGCAATGTGATCATTAAAGGGGTACCTTATTGGACCGCTCTAGTAGAGGATGAGTATGGGTTACGTGAGGTGTTGGTGTATTTTGATGTGAGTAGGAAAGTATTTGAGAAGTTACCTATGCCAGGAATAACAGTGGGAACTCAGTGGCAGCTTGTGGATTTGGAGGATTCCGTTGGTATGTTAATCTGGGCGAAAACAGACAAATATAACGTTGATGTTTGGGTAATGGACGATGAAGATGGTTGGAGTAAGAAATGCAATGTCGGACTGGTGTTCGGGTTTGACAGAATTATTGGCTGTTTGAGGAATGGTGACATTGTAGCTGAGGATGAAAATGGCGTGTTGTTACTCTTTGATCCGGTGACTAATTCTGTTAAGGCAAAATTGTGCATCGATAACGCTAAGAGAGGTTCATCCGTGATTTTCAACTATTCAGAGAGCCTAGTTCTAATTGGAGGGATGCTACCAGTTGAGAAGCAAACTGCTAGAGATAAAGTAGCACGTGAAAACCTCCTAAAGTGCGGTGATGAAATCTTTGTCTTCTCAATTACATTTTAAGTTACTATATGCTTGCTTTGTGCTGATTATTAACTCCGTCTTTGAGATTTTGTTGTTGCTTTGTTTATCATGTTGCGCATATGTATATGTTACGGGCACCTGGTGAAACTAAGCAGATAGACTATGATTTAATCTTCTATGTGAACTCACTCTATGATTTGTTTACATAATTCTTAGCAATTAGTGGAGATGCTTGTGAATTGCTGCTGTGGTGTTCTGTTTTTTAGAGCATCAGTTGTGGTGCGGTCAATAAGCAACAAGAAATAGAAAATTGTTAGGAACCCACAATTCTCTAATAATAAATCTGTAAACTTCCAAACACAAGACAGAAGTAGGAACAACACTTCAACTAATATTTACTGCTACAGATAATTAGAATATGTTATACAAATAGTTAGTAGAGAATACTTCTAACATTCAAGGTATTTCGAGGAACCTTAACCTCCAAATCTGCCTGAGAAATCCTTACCCACCAAAATCCTGTCTTTTTCCTTTTCCCAGTACTATTTATCCCCAAATAACTACCTAAACTGCTAGTTAACTGCTAGATAACTACTAGATAACTACTAGAATTACATTCACATAATAATTAATAAATAAAACAACTATATTTAAGCCTTATTTTCACCCTTCTTTCTGCGTTCATAGACCTTAGTAACAACAGGTCTAACAATACCCGCCCCAACGAGCTTCACCTTGTCCTCAAGGTGAAAATGAGGAAACTGTGCATCAATGATCTCATAGGATTCCCAAGTGTTTTCAAAGTCTGGTAAGCCCTCCCATTTAATCAACACCTCTTTGGAACCATTCAAGAGTGTATGACAGTCCACTACACCTTCTGGTTGCACTTGTAGTTCAAGCTCATCAGATAAGAAAGGAGGGAGCTGCTGAACTGGAGTAGAATCCTTAACTGCGCGCTTTAACCAAGAAACATGAAATACAGGGTGCACCCGTGAATGAGGGGGTAAATCAAGGCGATAAGCAACTTCACCAATTTTATTCAATATGGTATATGGCCCATAGTAACGAGGACTTAACTTCTGATTAACTTTTTTAGCAAGTGAGCGAAGCTTGAAAGGTTGCACACGAAGATAAACCAAATCACCAGGCTGAAACACAACTTCACGACGCTTAGCATCAGCATAGACTTTCATTTGAGCTTGAGCATGAATTAGATTATCTTTGAGTTCATCTAAAATATTGTTGCGAGCCATAAGCTGCTGGTTGACCTCTTCAACAGCAGAAATTTCATCAGTAAACCGCAACAAAGAAGGAGGATCTCGCCCATATAAAGCTCTGAAAGGGGTCATCTTGGCGGAACCATGGTAAGTGGTATTGAACCAAAATTCAGCCCAAGGAATCCATCTTGGCCATTGTTTTGGATGTGCTCCTGAAAAGCAACGCAAATAAGTTTCCAAAGAACGGTTGACAACCTCAGTTTGACCATCTGTTTGAGGGTGATAACCTGAGCTTAATTTGAGGCTAGTACCGGACAACTTGAATAATTCTTGCCAAAATTGGCTGACAAAAATCCGATCGCGATCAGACACAATTGTTTTGGGAAAACCATGCAAACGTACAATCTCACGAACAAATAACTCAGCAACACTCTTTGCTGTATAGGGATGACATAAGAGGAGGAAATGACAATATTTAGTGAAATGGTCCACCACCACAAGTATAGTATCATGTCCCATTGCTTTTGGTAACCCACTGATGAAATCCATAGCAATATCATTCCAAACTTGAGTAGGAATAGGTAATGGTTGCAACAAGCCAGCGAGACTTAGGGCTTCATACTTGTTTTGCTTGCAAACTTCACAACTAGCCACATAGTTTTGTACATCCCTTTTGATTCCATTCCAATACAACACTTGTGAAATGCGTTTGTATGTACGGAAAAAACCTGAGTGTCCTCCAGTAGGTGAAGAGTGAAATTCCCTAAGGAGTGTGGGAATGTGTAATGACGAACGGGGAATCACCAGCCGACTTTTGAAAAATAGGCAGCCATTCTTTAGAACATAATTCGGTCGTGAAGCCGGATTTTGCAGCAACTCTTGAGTCAATTTACGGAGTTGATCATCCTGTTGAATTTCTGTGGAAAGATCATCTAATGTACTGCTGCGTAGAACAGAAAAAGCCATGAAATGAAATTGGCGAGACAAGGCATCAGCTGCTTTATTTTCACAACCCGGTCGATATTGAATCTCAAAATCAAACCCCATCAACTTAGTAACCCATTTTTGTTGCTCCTCTGCCATAACATGTTGCCCCATGAGAAATTGGAGACTTCGTTGATCTGTTCGTATAATGATATGCTTACCCATCAGGTAATGACGCCACTTTTGTACAGCAAAAACAATGGCCATTAACTCCCTCTCATATACTGATTTGGATTGAGCACGAATAGAAAATCCTTGACTAAGAAAAGCGATGGGATGTCCTTCTTGCATTAGGACAGCTCCAATCCCTAATCCTGAAGCATCTGTCTCAACCACAAACACTTTTTTAAAATTTGGTAGTGCCAAAACCGGCAAAGTGACCATAGCCTCCTTAAGAGACTCAAAAGCTAACTGAGCTTCTTTATTCCAATGAAAAGCATCTTTCTTGAGCAATTGTGTGAGTGGCCGGGCTATTTTCCCATAGTCACGAACAAACTTCCTATAGTAACCAGTAAGTCCCAAAAAACCCCGCAAACCTTTAACATCTTTGGGATTTGGCCAATTAATCATGCTTGTTATTTTGGCAGGATCCGCTGAGACTCCACTTGCGGAAATAATATGTCCCAAATACTCTAGTTGTGGTTGACCAAAATGACATTTTTTTCGATTGACAACCAGGTTATGATGTTTTAAAATTTGCAGCACCTCCCGCAAATGACCCAAGTGAGTAGAAAAATCTGCACTATAAACTAATATGTCATCAAAAAAGACCAATACAAACTTACGTAAGTGAAGCCGAAATATCTCATTCATCAAGGCTTGAAAAGTAGATGGAGCGTTTGACAACCCAAATGGCATGACCAAAAACTCATAATGGCCTTCATGTGTGCGAAATGCTGTTTTTGCTACATCCTCCTTGCAAACTCGAATTTGATGGTACCCCGATCTTAGATCCAATTTTGAAAAAACAGTGGCACCCCCAAGCTCATCCAGTAATTCATCGATTGCTGGAATTGGAAATTTATCTGGAACAGTGATCTTATTAAGGGCCCGATAATCCACACAAAATCTCCAACTACCATCTTTTTTTCGAACTAGCAACACTGGACTGGAGAAAGGACTTGTACTTGGTTGAATGATACCAGCTACAAGCATTTCCTGGACGATTCGCTCAATCTCATTTTTTTGATAATGGGGGTAACGGTATGGACGAATATTAGGTGGATTTGATCCCTCTTTAAGTTGGATAGCATGATCATGACTCCTATTTGGTGGCAGCCCTTGCAGATCCTCAAATAAAGTTCCAAATTCTTCTAATAACTGCTGCAAATTCATATTCTCTTGTTCTTCCCTTGCTGTTAACTCATTGAGGTCAAGATAATATCCTTCTCCATCTGTTTGCAAGGCTTTAAACAGAGTTTTGAGTGAAACCACTGATTTGGATAATGAGGGGTCTCCTCGAACAACTTGTGTTTGCCCTCTTATTTCAAATTTCAACGTCAACGTTTTGAAATTAGCTTGAATATCCCCCAAAGTCTCCAGCCACTCTAGTCCCAACACAACATCGGCACTTCCCAAATTAAAAAGGAAATAATCTTGTGTTATGCACAATTTATCAATCCATAGTTCCACAGCTTTACAACTTCCCCTACTCTTTACTTGTTGCCCATTCCCTACTTCCACCACAATTGACTTAGTTTCTGTTTGCTTTAACCCTAATTCTTCGGCAACATTGCGAGAAATAAAATTTGTTGAGGCTCCGCTATCAATCAACACAATAACCTTTTTCCCCAATATTGTTCCCCCTACCTTCAAGGACTTCTTTGTGGTAAATCCTGCAATAGAGTACAAAGACAATTCCATTAACTTTTGAGACTCTGGTTGTTCTTGAACATTTAACTGATTCACCCCTGCATCTATTATTTCATTTGAATGCTCTTCTATATCTCCATCTTCGCTGTCCTCTGATGCTACAATAAGCAGATTTAACTGTCTAGAATTGCACCGGTGATTGGGGCCATATTTTTCATCGCAGCGAAAACAAAGTCCTCTTCTTAATTTATCCTGATACTCTGCATCAGATAGCCTTTTGTATGCTCCACCACGCCTTGCTGAAGTTTCAAGTCCTGGCTGCATGATCTCTCCACGCTTTTGCTCTTGAAAATGTCGTGGTACTGCTGAAACTGTTGTACGGGCAGAATGATATGGTGTTGTGGCTACACGCACATGGGAACTTGTAGCACTTCCTGTCCGGCTATTGTCAGTCCCTGGAAAATGCGTTGACACCTTAGGAAGTGTTATCGGCATAGATCTCTGCAAGTGGACTTGGCTGAGAGCCCAATTCTTTTCTTCAATACGTTGGCTTTGGTCCATAATTTGGGTTAGAGTTCCCAACTTGCTAAGACGCAATTCTGCCTTGATTTCCCCTCTCAGTCCATTTATAAAAATTCCTACCAAAACCTCATCATCAACATCTTTCAAGGGTGCTGAAAGCAACTCAAAATCTTCTCTATATTGGGCCACACTTCCAGTTTGTTGCAATCCTATCAAAACCTCATATAAGTTCCCTAACTGTGATGGAGTAAATCGTTGGAGTATGGCTACTCGAAACACATCCCATGTGACAACCGGTGTTCTGGTCTCCCACCATTGGAACCAATTCAGGGCTCTACCTTCAAGGCAAACAGCAGCAGCCTCCAATTTATCCGTGTCATCAATGCCATTGAAATGAAAATAACGCTCTGCTCTATTAAGCCACCCATAAGGATTATCACCAGAAAATAAGGGTAGTTCCAGTCGTCTAGGACGTGTTTCATCACGAAATTGTGGTTGAACTTCCCGAAATCTGTCACCTCTGCGATTGTGGCTGTTCTCTGCCATTACATCTGTGTCTTTAATTGGATCTTCCTGAACCACTGATTTTCCTTTCATATGTTGAAGAATTTCAGCGTCACGCTCATCTTTTTTTTGCATCCAGTCTCGTAACTGCCCTATGTAATCACGTACTGAACCAATCTCATGTTGTACTTCATCCATTGTCTTCTCTAATCCTTCAATCCTCCCTTCCATTCTGGTTGAAACCATAAAGGCTCTGATACCAAAATTGTTAGGAACCCACAATTCTCTAATAATAAATCTGTAAACTTCCAAACACAAGACAGAAGTAGGAACAACACTTCAACTAATATTTACTGCTACAGATAATTAGAATATGTTATACAAATAGTTAGTAGAGAATACTTCTAACATTCAAGGTATTTCGAGGAACCTTAACCTCCAAATCTGCCTGAGAAATCCTTACCCACCAAAATCCTGTCTTTTTCCTTTTCCCAGTACTATTTATCCCCAAATAACTACCTAAACTGCTAGTTAACTGCTAGATAACTACTAGATAACTACTAGAATTACATTCACATAATAATTAATAAATAAAACAACTATATTTAAGCCTTATTTTCACCCTTCTTTCTGCGTTCATAGACCTTAGTAACAACAGGTCTAACAATATGATTGTTAGATCCTTGAAGTTTGTGTGTTAAAATTTCTATTTGCCGATGCTGTAGGACTCTGAGGTAGTTGGTTCCATAAGCATTTTAACCATTATGTATTTGAAAAAAAAGAGCAGAATAACATAAGTTTCGCTGAAATAATGCATGCGGATTGTATTGCACTGACTAAGTGAAGGCTTCAAAAGAAAAAACTGATAGAATCAAGTCCTATTAAGGAGTGCAACAATTATGTTACCTATCTGTTTAACTGAGCCATTGTGTTTCTGCTTTCAGATGTTCTTTTTCTTGTTTCTGGCAAATGTTTTAAATTTTTTTATCTCATTTCTTGATTCATAAACTTTTATGTATATACAAGTAGGGGTGTTATTAATCTTATAGATGTTAATGTTGATGAACTAAAGATAAAGATTATATTCAATGAAAGGGTTAGATACTTGTTTCATTCCTACCATATTCGGTGTATGTGCACCCTCTATCTCAAATGGAGTGTGAGACATCCATATCTTAATTTTTTGGATGCTCAAAGACATAACTTTAGTTTGACAGCCAGTATAAGAGGTCCTCTCTTTGTAGAAAAGATCTCTTCTTCATTTAATTATTTGCTACTACAAGACTGAAGTTGCATATCTGGGGCTTTTCAGCTAGACTTCCGAGCTTTGTTTTTCCATAGCTTAGAAGCTTTCTCTAGAATCCTCTCCTCGTAGAAAGGATCTCCTCTTCATTTAATCATTTGCTACTTCAAGTTGCATCTTTGGGGCTTTTGATCTTGAATTTCAAGCTTTGTTTTTCCTTAGCTTAGAAACTCTCTTTTTGCTTCCTGTCCACTGTCTTTTCTCCTTGGTTGGTTGGGACTTTGTTTTAGACATAATATTCTTAGCTATTTGGTCCATGGGTCTCTGAGGAGCATGTTCGGAGTAGAAATGAGTGGTGCGAGGGATTGTTGGCTTTGAAAGATATTTGGAGAACTCACTTACATTCTTTTTCTTGATAATGCAGGGCTGGCATAAATTTGAAGATCATTTCCACCGACGATCCCCAACAGGTTGACTTGGCTACTAGGATTGCATGAAAGAAGTTTCTGCTTCCCCTTTTTGCTATCCTTAGAGATGACATGAAAAACTTTTGACATCTTTTTAGTTTGGAATCCACAATGTATGTAGTTCCTGGTCTCTCAGATGTTTGTATTAAAGAAGAAGATGAGTTTAATTCATCTGACTACTTTGTTGATCAGATTGTCAACTAATATCTATTGCACATTGTTTTGATTTACAAGTACTTGATTAAACAATGGTGGGTTTGTGGCTGAATATTCTGATTCGACTTTAGTTGTTCGATCCTGAAGCATGCCTTTCCTTTGTGTTTCTTGTAGTGCCCTTACTTAGCTTCCTTCGTTGAGCTATCCTCTTCTACCACGTTTCAATATGCCATCAGGAGAAGTCGGTTTGCATAATCCGCAATCATGAACCCGGCTATGCACTAAAGAAAGTTTTGCTTCATAAAATCTTCCATTGTGTTCTCTTCACTCAATTTTTGTTCCTTTTCCCACAAGTGTTTTTGCAATTGAGTCATATTATAAGGGCATTTAATGTAGGAAAAAGGGTAAAAAATGCTTTTAAATTATGTGAAAGGAACAAAAATGTCATCCGTTTATAGTTTGGTTCAAAAATGTCTTTGCCGTTAATATTTTGGTTCAAAAATGCCCTTACCATCAATACTTTGGTCAGAAATGCCCCTATAGTTACTAAATGGGTCAAAAATGCCCTTTTCTGAATAAATATATTATTTTTTTCTTTTTAAACATATCTTCTTCCTAATTAACATATTATTAAAGATTCTTATTTTGTTTTTCTTTTAAAATCACTTTAACAAATAAAAATGTAGGATTTATTTTTCTTTTTCTTAATCTCATTTTATCAATTAAAATAGAATAACTTCATGTACCCTTTCGACAGATAATATATGCCATATATATAAGATCATAATATATCCATCATAAAAAATAATTATAATAAAATAAGTAATATTTTTTGTTACGACCTGATTTCGAAAACTAAGGTTTCGAGACCATTTTCGCAACTTTGGCAATTTTTGTTGAGTTTTGGAAAAATCTATAATTTGGAAGTCGCCACTTAATTTTTTAGGAAAATTAAGAAAACCATTTAAAAGGAGAATTTTGAAAGAAAGTAATTTAAATAAAACCAAAGTCGGGTAAGGGTTCAAATAATTTTCTAAGGAAGGGTTTAGGCATCTTAGAGAGTCCGCTAACACGCGGTTGACCGACGGATTTAAAAATTTGGCTAACTTTGTAAAAAATGGTTACTTATAAAAATCTCATTTGAAACTTAGATAAAAATCCCTTGATACTTTTAAAAATCTCAAAAATAATCCTAACTTAAAACTTTTATTCATAGTTATGTTTTGAACCATACGATTAATTCGAACTCATCAACATGGATCAAGGGACCTTGTTTAGCAACTATGAAAGGATATAAAAATTCCTCAAGTCATTCATACACAGTCTTCAGTCATTTTTTAAAAGATAACTAATTTTAGTTTAAGACGACTTAACAACTCTATCCTAGTCAAAATTTGAACTAAATAGCTAATTCCAAACTCATAAACATGGATTCAAAGCTTTTCAATAACTATGAAAGAACATAAAAGGTTCTCAAGTTATTCTAATAAGCATATTACCTAACTTAAAATGGGTTTTGGAAATTTGGAAATTTTAAAGTAAACAAGCGACAAAATATGAAATAAAAATCCCTCCAAAGATTCATCTAAGTTAAGAAAATAAATGTTAGAAGTTAAGAGCAATTATCACAAAATAAGGAAAATAAAAGTGCGAAGAGAACTTGGACAAATCTAAGTCCATTCGCTGCTTCTTAATTGTTGTTGCTGGCGCAATTTTCAAACTTTCTTAGTCTGAAAAATGCAAGTTTCAGCCCTTCGAAACTGCTGTGACCTGTTACTGAGCAGCTGCCATCAATAATAATTGAATCAATAAGTCAAAAATCCCTAAAATATCAGCCCTTTAGGGCAGTTGCGATCTGCTCACGTTACTTGGGTTTTAAACCCAATTTTTGCTCCTCGTTTCCCTGCCTTTTCAAGGCTGCTGTTGCTGCTGGTTTGCTTGGGTTTTAACCCAATAATACTAGCTTCCCTTTCACGACTCGGAGGAGGTTTGACTCAAGAAGAGGACTATGCAAGAGAGGGGAGTCCGTGTGAACTCAATGGAAGCGTGTTCATGCATAATAAGAAAAAGAATTAGCTAGTATAGATGAACTCCAAGGAAAACATAACGAATTAAAATTATCGTTAAAACTAACCAAACCAGAAACACATGATCATTAATTAGTCACAGCTTTCAGAACTTAAGTAGTATGGTAAACTGGACAGATTTTCTTTTTTTTTTTTTTAAAAAAAAAAGGAAAAACTAAGTCAATAAACAAGTCATCTGTAGGCAAAAAAAATAAGGGATCATTGCAGAGAACATAAAAACCAAAGCATTCAATACTAAGCAGCACATCAACTTTCTTAAGCAAGACACAAGACAAAGAAAAATATTTTGAGAAATGAAGGAACTTAGAAGTAAATTATACATGCATAGAAGTTGTATGTGAACTTAAACAAGATTATAGTATTGTAGTCTATATTGAAACATGCAAAACTAAAATTAAAACAAACAGACAACTTCTTAGCTTTATCTAGTGTGACTCAAAAATAAAAACTAATAAGAGCAAAACACAAAGATAGGAGAGAATGCTAAGAAGAGAAAAATAAAACACTTGATTTTATAGCCTTAAGTCTAATTAACCAACTCATAGATTCAAGTTTCAATCAGCACATTGCTAGCTATAAATTACTCATCTCTAACTCACAAAATTACCACACTTCGATTGATTTTAACAAAGAGTAAACAATGAGCTAAATTAACAAAGTACTAACATATATTATATCACTTAGATGCATAATTTATCCATACTAACTCTAGGTAAACTAAGCATAACAGGACTTCAAAAAACTGTACTTGGAAGAAATCATTGTAAGGCTAACATGCTTTACCATTTCAGAAATTGAGCGAATCAACAAAAGATCACGACTAGTAAAGCAGCACATGACATATGAGCTTCCGAATAGAACAACACATCTATGACATCCAATATTTAAACTAATAATCAGCAAATAGGATGAATTCCAAGCCAAGCAAATGTACACAATTTAGGATCTATAGCTCAAGGAGTGACATGAGGATCTAAAGGATTTAGGAGCAACCAAAGAGAAATTCAACTTCATCTAGAGCTCAACTAAACCTAGGATCAACTCATGGTTTCCGAACAAATAAAATCCTTAACATAAGAAGCAAGTAAGAAACCCACATTGTGAAAAAAGGGAACTGGATGTAAAACGAAGAAAGCAGGGGTTCACTTTAAGGAGCATATGTAAAAGTAGAATTGAGATTGAGTGCACTCAAATGAATCTACATATAACATACAATTGCTCAATCCCTTGGACCACAAACGAACTAAATAGAGTATCAAAAGTGTCATACTAAACTAAAGAAACAAGTTCATAATATAAACAACAGTTAAACTCGAACAAATCACAGCAACATTTTAATCATATATTACTTGAGAAATTTGATAAAAACGTGATACAAAACAATCTTGAACGATAAATTTGAGACCTCAAATTTTATAAACTTATAAATAAACCCCTATTTCACAGAGACTAAAATGACAGAAACTAAACCAAGTACTAACATTTTAACCATTTTATGGAGCAAGAGATAGATTCTTAAGGAAACAATAGAGGAGTGACTATTCAGTCGAGTTAGCAAGGGTAAGGCATTTTTTAGGTTGTTTTCAATCACCAGATGCGATACAGAATCGATCAAGCAAAATGTGCTATTAAGTCAAAACAGGATTTCACATTTTTACTAAAAGAAAAATCTGGAAAGAAAAAAAAACAGTAACTCTCTCCAGAAACTAGGATTGGAAATTCAAACAACCCACAGGGAATAAAAGAAACATTGCTAATGTACTTGTAAAATCACCAATACTTAGGCATTCAACAAAAATATTCATCAACATATAAATGTTAGGAAACATACTAGCCTTAAATCGGCTCTAACACATAACACAACAACATAGACTAAAATTAAACTAAATAGAAAAGGAAAGGAAAGAGTTACCTGGTTCTGGGCAGCGACTGAAACTGGAGTCCGGATGTGACGAACTCTACCACCACCCCGACTCAAAATAGCCGCAAATCAATTGAATTTCAGTGACGAAAATAAGAGCTCCCAAAAAAACATAGCGGGGTGCTCTTTTCTTCGCCTCCCAAAAAACCTCCCTTGAACAGTAAGAGGGAGGGGTATTTATAGGACCTAAAATCTCACGAAATTTGGAAAGATTTTCGATGTGGGATTTTGAGAATTTTCAAAATCCCTTAACATATAAGGATTGCCAACTAGTTAGTGTACGAATTCGTACCATTTTGAACGAAATTGAAAAAGGAAAATCGAAAATTATAAGGGTATTACCGTTGAGGAATGCAATGCTGGAAGCTTGAGGCGTCTTTGAGCTCGTACTATGCACGCGGAGAGTACGAATTGAAGGAGAAAAGAGGAAAATTGAGGCGGTGAATCTGAGGATTTGAAGTTGGGTTCGTTTGGTTGCTTTCGCTGAGGAAGAAGAAGAAGAAAGAGGTGGGATCGGGGGGCGTGTAGGAGAGTTCTGTGTGTTCTTTCTAGGAAACAAAAAGAGTGTGTGTGCGCGTGAGGTAAAGGGGATTAGGAAAATAGTGGAATAAAGGGTGTGGGCTGGTTTAAAGCTTTTTGGGGCCAAAAAATTGGATTAAAAAGCTGAGGAAAAATAAGTGGGTTAAGGAACTGGTCCTCTTACCGTATCTTAAATAAATTGAAAGCAAAAGTAAATTACGTATTTAATTAAAGATTAAGCTTCTCAAATCTTGCAACATAAAACAATTATTTTGACGCAAAAAACCAATATGTGAGGTAATCATCTTTAAGGAAATAAAATGCATATTTAGTTAGAAACCTATTTTTAGTAAAAGCGACCTTCTGAATGTTTATTCAAATTGAAAATTATATAAATCTCTATATTTTAAGTATTATATAATCTATATGAAAAATGGCAAAAGTGCCTTGAAATTTTTTTATTTTTTTTTAAAGTATTTTGATTTACGAAAATAATTATTTCAAATTGTTCGAAATTTGAGAAGCTTGAAAATTAACTAAATTGTGGAGGGCCAAAATTGGGTGTCAACATTTTCATTTTTTATTTTTTTCTTAATAGAAGTAAGATATATATTTGCTAATTTAAAAAATATTATTAGAAAAAGAATGTATTAAAAAAGAAAATAAATAATATATTTTATTTAGAAAATGAACATTTTTGACCCATTAAATAACAATAAGGGCATTTTCAGACCAAAATATTGACGGCAAGAGCATTTTTGGACCAAACTACAAACGGAGGGTATTTTTGTTCCTTTCGCATAGTTTAAGGACATTTCTGACCCTTTTCCCTTTAGGGTGTGTTTGGTATGAAGGAAAATGTTTTCCTGAAAAACAAGTAGATTTTTGACTTATTTTTTCATGTTTGGTTGGTGAGTGGAAAATATTTTTCGAAAAAGATTTTTTTGTGTTTGATTTATGAATGAAAATTATTGTTGAGAAAATATCTCTTTTTTTATCAGAGAGTAGAAAATAATTTTTGAATTGAAATTAAAAATATTTTTAAATAAATTTAATTTTTTTTTTGGGGTAGGGGAGTGGGTGGGGCTGGCGGGACTAGGGGTGAGATGGGGTGTAAAAATAAATATTTGAAATTAAAAATATATTCTTTTTTCTTTTCTTTTATTTAATTTTTTATTCTGGTCTTCTTACTTTTATCCAAAATTAATTTTTATATCCACGTGTTGGCGTGAAACTTACCAGCTAAGCGAAGCCGAAAGCCAAATTGACAAAACCAGCAGCACATCTTGCCCCCAAGAGAAACCGAAGACCGCGAAATCGCCGATCACGTAGCCGCGCCGATCTGATTCTGACAATCGGCGTCAGAAACATTACGACTTCAACTCAATCCCGAAACCCTAAACTGTTACTCGATCTCTATCAGGGGAAGTATGAGCAAAGAAGACGGGAAGAATAGGGCCTCTTCGGCCACCGGCGAACCCTTGCCGGCAAACTATTACTACGGTACATTTCAAGGAGTAGCCAATCATCCGCCTCCTCCTCCACAGTCTCATCAAGTGTTCGGTTTTCCTCAGCCCGTTCCTCCGCCTGGTGCTGCCGGCGCTCCTCCTCAATACTATCCTCATGGTTATCAAACTGTTCACGGTATGTTTTCCCACATATTCATATATATATCTACAGGCGCTTCCATGATTACTTTTTTCACGCTTGTTGATAAATTCTGTTTGTTTCCGTGAATTAAGTTAAAGTTGGGAATTTTAATTCAACTTCTCATCCTGGATTATTTAAAATAACAACAACACACCGAGTGTAACCCCACGAGTGAGATCGGGGAGGGTAGAGTGTAGGCAAACCATATTGGGAGGTACAGAGGCTAAATCAAGTATATATAGCATGATTCGTTAAGGTACAGCTTTTTTCTGCTAATAAGTTAATTCGGGACACAATGCAGGGTATATAAGTCTTTTGGTTATAGTATATGATTAGATGGTTGTATGGTTTTGTCACCAATCAAAAAAACGAAATCCTTGTATGGTCTTGTCATTGAGGAATTACAAGAAGGGGCTTGATAATATGGTGAATGCGTAGGGAAGAAATTATAGCTGTTAAATTAGAACTCGTCAAAATGCCATATGAATTTTGTATAATATAGTGAACTCTATGCAAAAATTTAAACATAATGAAGGTAGTACATAAAATATATGTCTGGTGATGATATCCATTTCTACTACTCATTAAAAGCTTCACATGCCATATAGGAAAATACTCCAGAAAAATTCAAGATGTAGAATGAATCAACCATGTATGAAATCTAGATTTTTTGATAGGTTTCATAGATTTTTCAGTTTGAACAGGGTTATAACTAGGCAATTGGCAATCTTTTGTTGCTGGGAAATGACCTTTTTTTGTACTGTCCAGCGCTTTGTGCTTGGCTGCTTATATTAATAAAACAAAATGTTTTGTTCACTTATGAAAAATATGCCTCCTCCCCCTTAGAAATATAGAGAAGATACCTATAGTACGGATGATGATTGATGTGTTATGGATAATTCACTTTCTTCAGAGTAACTTTTTTTTTTGTTGAGGCTGGTAACATTTCTTCAGAGTAACTTCGTGATTTGTTAAGAATCAAGATTGTGTTTCTTGGAAAGTGAACTGAAGAATAAAGATTAGAATAAGGAAAATGATAAAAGCAAAAAATCCACCTTAGATCCCACACCATGCAAAGCGAAGCCCGGTATTTAAGTGGAGAAGGGTAGAGGGGCGGGCCCATTATCCACCGAGTTTAGAAGGCTGTGATTGGTCCAAAGGGGGCGGGTCACAGACGGATTTCTCGGTTATCCAAAAAAAAAAAAAATCCACCTTAGATTTAGGCTGTCAGAAAATTTTGGAATTCTGGATCTTCATAATTTTATTTTGGTGTCTTTTGCTTACATGTCAAAAGGCTTCTTTAATTTTTATAATTTTGTGCCCAGTTACACACTTCCACATTTAATCGGGCAGATGGAATATGTAATGTCTCCAACTTTCTTTAAGCATTTAGAAGTTGTAGAAGTGGAGTCAAATGTTATTTAGAAGAGAACTGACATAGGAAGAATGTTGAACTAGTTATACACGCTGTCTCGAAAAATTTCAGGAATGACACTTTTGAAAATGCTTTTTAATTTTTTCTGCTCTAATTGCTAGTTTGAAAATATTTGGTTGTTCAAAAACATTATTTTAATGTCAGATGATATATGCCATGTTCATTATGTTTCTTCACCGTGGCTTAGGTTATGCTGTTGCTGAAGGTAGACCTATGAGGGAGCACCGTCTTCCTTGCTGTGGTGTGGGGATCGGCTGGTTCTTGTATGTTTCTATTCTTGTACATTTTCTTGAGCCCTTATTTTTAAATTTTCTTTATGTATTGTGGTCAGATTGATAAATATTTTGCTTTATGCAAAAAAAGTGATATATGTAATCATACTCAGGTTTTATTTTTATTTTAGAGCTCTTTCATTGTCTTTAGAGTCTTATTTATATTAAAATAAAGACTGGTAAGTTGGATGTTGGGGAAACAATGTGAAGGCACACAGGAATAACAACTCAGCGGTTTCAAAAAGTGTGATCTGATAGTTGCTACTGGATTTACCTCTTTCTGGTGTTTCAGTGACCAGATTTTCATTAACTCAATTTGTAAAGAGTGATTAAGATTTCAATGTTGGCTTACTTTCATTTTTTTTCTGTTTTGTTTGGAAGGTTCATCTCTGGTTTCTTTCTTGGTACCATACCTTGGTACGTTGGAGCTTTTCTTCTTCTGTGTGTTCGGATTGATTATAGAGAGAAGGCTGGCCTTATAGCATGCACATTAGGGGTAATTTCTCTCTCTCTTTCTCTCTCTCAAATTACTATGTGGAAGATACTTTATATGCCTTGATTTCACCAGGCATGGCTATGTTAGTCTCACACTTGTAATACTGGCTTAATGTCAGAAGTATGCTCTCATTTCTATCTACTGGCATTATGGGTGATCCTAAAACCGGGATTCTTTTCACATGTGCTATAACTCTCCGTGATATTCTACAAAAGTTATATAGTCTGACAAAGAGAAAAGGATGAATACGATTATGAAGAAATAAGATTACCACTTACCAAGAGATGAAACGGAAAAAGAAAAATAAGGAACAAACTTAAGCAGTGTGTGGCAGTGTAGGCCACTTATTTCTTTTGTTGGGGTAGACTGGAAGTGTAAGGTTAAATGAGAAGTTTGAATGCTATATAAATTGTAGATTTAATTCTCGCAGCTCGGGTGAATTAGACAAAAGATGTTTCTAGTAAGTCCTCTCATTTTTGGGATGGATAATGTGCAGTAGCAATAGTTTGTTAAGTGCTTTGTTTTTGTTTCAATTGTATGGTTGATGATATCCCTTCTGTCACAAATTCTTGGGCATAATATGCTCTTCTAGGAGTCGAGTTGAGCAATATTGTTGGGGTACAATTACCCAGTTTCATTGGGTACAGAGTAAAGGAAAAACTTTTGGCACATAGCAAAAGTACCCTTAGAACTTATGGTTTTAAACATTTATTGTCACTTTTATGGATATAAAAGCATGTCATTAAGGGTAAAATTTGATGTTTAAAGTTGAAGAGTTCGCAAATATATATAGGCGTTATTCTTTGTTGTACAAACTAAGAAAAAATGTGTGCCATATAAAATAGAATAGGGTGAGTAATAAAATTTGGTTTGGGCAGCTAGAAATTTTGAAAAGAATAAATGTTTTGTACTTCTAGAGTATGTGGATTTGATATCAAAAAACTATATTTTGTTCCACCCTGTGAGTGCTTGCCCGCCTTACCTTGGAATTTACTTCATTTCACTTAGATATCCCTTTCTATTGATATTTACCTTATGCAAGAGCAGTCCTAAATATATATTATAACTTGGCTTTTCTATGAAGATATATTAGAGGAACATTAAAAGGATGGAAAATTAGACTAGGTTGAGAGATGGATTACATTTGGGTAATTTATTCTAAGACCAACCTCTTTTAGTTGCCCTTTTTTTTTTTGGCACAATTGCTTTTGCCCCTTTTCATGTCATGTTTGATGTTCCTGGTCTGCCAGATTAACCCAATCATCAGATTGTCATTCCTATGAGGCTGCGAGGAAGCATTTCTCACAAATTATTCAACAATAACCTTTATTCTCAATAGAGCCAAAGTCCTAATCTGACTGTTGCATGAGTTTTTGGCTTCTTTATGTATTTATGTTACTTTTCCTTCTAGTGCTGACTGATATTCAGGAAAGCTGGGGCTTGAAGCCTTATGTTCATATTTTCAATCTTCTTATTCTGATAGTGGATTTGTATCCAAGTAATGTGCAGTTTAATTATTCCTCCATTTGATTTGGGACAACTTCTTAGCTGTCACATAAAAGCCTCCCATGTTAGCGAATAAGCAATCCTGCACTGATACTCCTGTGCATTAATGCTGCTCTGCTTGCAGGGCAATACTTAAGTAATCTGTGTTAGTGTCAATCCTACTCTGTGTTACAGTTTAAATACCCTTTTAGTAATGCTAAACGTGAGTTGTAATATGCTGCGAAGGTGCTTTAAGCCTATCTTTGTTTGGGGTTGAGGGTAGATGGGGGATGAAGGGGGAGGGGACAAATGTTTGTTATTACCATCCAAGCAGTTGTAGCTATGCACTGATTAGCTTTCTGATTTCTGCAGTACCCAATAGAAGCACAGTCTGCACATCACTCCATTATTTATCGATTTCTTTTCTCATACCATATCAACCTCTGACTTTGTTTATTTGTTCGGTAAATCAGGCCATGCTTGCTTTGATTGCTGTGACTTTTGGTGTGACAAAGGCAACTCATTCCTGGTGAGGCTATCCAGGCTGCAATATGTGAACTTATCGTGGCAATCTCCATAGAAAAGGGGGAAAGAGAGAAAGGATAGAGCAACTTAAGTAATTGGTTTTTGTTTGAAAGATGTATCCTTTTCTCAATATGTATAGCAAATATTGACTTGGGTGGTTCTTATACTAAACAGGCACTTTCCTTTGTAATGTTTATGGTACTTCTTGGTTTTGCTCCAATAGTGATGTATATTTTTTGAAAATTCCCCAAAATATAAGTGCAGAACTATATTCAGCTCCATTGGGGGAAGTTCACCATTTTTTAAGATTATGACTTCTTTGGATATACATAATACATAATACAGTTTCATAATGCTTTTTAAAAAAAAAACTTAAATATATAATAGATTTAATATACATTTATCCAATTCATTTTAAAATTATTCGTAAATTAAAAAATTTCCTATACTAATTTTCAATATGATTATTAATTCATATTGGAATATATAAGTCTTGTAAAAAAATAATAATTAAAAATCATATATGATAGGTTGGATGGTTTTTTAAGTTTTTGCACGAATTGTCTTATTTCGGGGTGGTAGTTATTTGTCTCTCAAATCTATGGTCATTTAGTGAAAAGTTGTGTGCTAAATTGAGTAGTTAATTCACTTCGCATAAGTTTAGAGATTTTTTGTCTTATATGATATAAGTTTTGTAGGAATTAAGTTATGCCTCTTGAGACATAATTTGTGGGAATTTTGAAACAGAACTTATGCTAGATGCATTAGTTAGGTAGGAACTAAGTTATGCCATGAGTATTAATATCTCTCTTGATATAAGTTCTGTAGGGATTAAGGAGTCGTTTGGTACAAAGATGCATAATGCAGGGATTACTAATGCATGAATTAGTAATGCAGGAATTAGTAATGCAGAGTTTAGCAATGCAGGGATTAGTTTTTATCAAGCATTTGGTTCATTGTTTCTCACCTAATCTTATGTCTAGTTTAAAACTTTAGAAAAAGTTTCTTTCCTATTTTACCATTAAATTATTATGAGATTTTATATTTCATTTAACTAGTCAAGTTAAATACTAAAATATATATAAAAAAATATTATTAATTTTGAGGTGTGATATGTCACTATAGAGATCCTTGATAGCACAGTATATTTCTAATTTTTTGTTGGTCAAATATACCTTAAACTTAACATAGATTTAACGCTACTTAAATTGTTCAAATACGCGAAGCTTATTTTTAAAAAAAATAAAAATAGTTCAAGTGGTCAATCGACAAACTACATTTTAAAAAAATGGAAAAAATCAACTCAATGTAACAAATCAAACATGGAGAAAAAAATATTGATTTGAAAATCATCAAATTACATGGAACGAATTTGGAGAAGTTAAAAGAATATTTATAAATATTCTCATATAAATAAAAAGGAACATTAAATTACAAAAAAGAATTAGGAGGTTTTTTTTGGGGATAATTTAGTCTTTTAAGGGTCTTATCCAAGGATTGTTAAACCTTGGATTAGTTATCTCTCCCTTTTCTAGAGATAAAAATAAGACCTTAATGTAACTAAACAATGTTTTTGTTGGACTAAATTTTAATCTATGGATTATTTTGATTAATACGTCCTACCATAAATGACATAACCTGTTATGCCTTATGAGACAAGTTAGATTATGATAAGAAAATATAAACTTATGCCCATAAGTAACAAAAATTAAACATTAACCCAAAGTTGGAGCATTAAGACATGGGCCGCCTCCCCAATTATGTATGTAGCCCAAATTAGGAGCTAGGGCTCTATGTATAGCCACTTTTAACTTGAACACTCTTTCTTCTTCTTTTTACTCACTTCGGCGGCAAACGTAGTGCAGAGGGAAAGAGAGCCTTGCCGAAATGGTGACGTACAAGGTAAAGACTCTTCTTTTTTCACTGGGTTTCCATTTTTATTTGAGGTTTGATCAACAATGGTGTTTATTTTTTGTTGTTATTGCAGTTCCATCAGTACCAGGTTGTCGGGAGAGCTTTGCCCACTGAAACAGATGAGCATCCCAAGATTTATCGTATGAAGTTGTGGGCTACAAATGAAGTTCGTGCTAAGTCCAAATTCTGGTATTTTACAACTTTTTCCCTATCAATCTTCTTGTTTATGTTATATGGTTAATGCTTATGCTAACCGGGTTTTGTTTGATTTGGTTGGATATAAAGGTATTTCTTGAGGAAGCTTAAGAAGGTGAAGAAGAGCAACGGTCAGATGCTGGCTATTAATGAGGTATCATTAAGATTCATTTATCTAGTTTATCTGGACTGAGTGTATTTTTAGATTATGTATTAGAAGTCTTATGATCAGTAGTTCAATAATAGCAATTTTTGGTGCATGGTGTTTAGTATTTGGTAATTAGTTTTTTATTTTATTTTACTTATTGGGGTTCTAATTGATTTGCGCTTTTGAATAAACAAATGTAAATCATATGAAGTTTTGATTGCATATGTGAAATCTGATGTATATTATTTTATCCAAGGGTGGTTTTCTTTTCGGTTTGAAACTTTATCTCAAAAGATTGGATTTTGAAATTGCATTTTCAATACCCATTCATCTTTATTGCCCAATAATATGTTCTTGGTTCAATATGTGCTGGAATCAGTGCGATTTACCTTGTTTTGTGCATTAGGGAGAACATCCAAACCCTGACAACTTAATGCATATGATACAAACAGTTAACATCAACTCCCCTCAAGTAATTAACACAGTGTTCCACCAAGTTTGAAAGAGGAGATAAGAGGCCTGTCTCTTGGTGTGCAACAGGAATTTCAAGCTATGATATGATGTTAGAAAATGCTGCAATATCTGAGTCGGGGGGACGGAAAAAGAAATGGCTCCGAAGAATAAAATTGGGGTTCCCAATGCTTCTCCACGCTCAACGAGATGCGCCAACCTCGGGATGCTTTACTCCTAACCCCACAAGGTTCCGAGACGGAGCTTAACCTGAGTCTCGGTTAAGAACGGCAATGATATATGTTTCCTTTTATTTAAGTTGGTTAGAATGTTCAAATTTGAGCAATATTGGTCCCTCTTGGCGAAATTGTTAGCAGAGAAAAATTTGATAGAGGCTATACCATCTAATTGGAATTGAGGTCTAGTTGTACACCTATGTCCAAATTTTATTTTTTGAAAATGTACATTGGTCAAATTTTGCTTAGAGCCTTTTGATCTTGCTAGTGATTTCTTTGTTAGAAGCAAATCTAGCTAACTTTAGTGTTGGAGAACATAATTGAATAGGCAAATGAGAAATTTGTTCAGATGGAACAAAATCAAAGGGGATTCATATAGTTAGTCCAACTAGCTTTGGATTAAGGCTCTGTTGTTGTTGTTGGTTGTCTTGTCTATTGGCAATCATGAAATGATGCTTTTTGTACAGATATCCAGTTTCATGATTGTCGATAAACAAGAAAAAAACAAATCACTAGCAAGATCAAAACGGCTAGTTTAAATCATGAAAGTGTTCAGTGTTGTTGCCTGTTTATAGTCCAGTGATAGTCATTCCTGGCACCTGTGCTTATTCTTGCAAATAGAATATCTTCCCTCCAATCCCTTTCAACCATTGGTATGACATTAATGTTTTGGTTATTGTGGCACTGCATCATGCACTAATCCCTGGTTGTTTCTCTGTATGCTGTGTTTAAATTGTTTGTGGAGATTTTATAAGATATCCTGAATTTTTCTCATTTTCGTGATATGTCTTTGTTGTTCCATCAAACTAGGGGATTTCATTTCAGCAATATTTCCGTCTCCTTTGTGTTGAACCTCCTAACTATAAAGATTGTATGTTCAACTTCTTAGATCTTCGAGAAGAACCCAACAACAATCAAGAATTATGGTATTTGGCTCCGTTACCAAAGTAGAACTGGATACCACAACATGTACAAGGAGTACCGTGACACCACATTGAATGGTGGTGTGGAGCAGATGTACACTGAGATGGCTTCTCGCCACAGAGTTCGCCATCACTGCATTCAGATCATAAAGACAGCAACCATTCCAGCTAAGCTGTGCAAGAGGGAGAGCACTAAGCAGTTCCATGACTCCAAGATCAAGTTCCCGTTGGTGTTCAAGAAAGTCAGGCCACCATCTAGGAAACTCAAGACCACATACAAGGCTACTAAGCCCAACTTGTTCATGTAACTTGTTTGGTCATATGTGCATTGAGAAGCAACTTCAGATTTATGCAATTTTGGTGCATTAGTTGAGTTGAGTTAAGATTCATTGTGAAAGAGATATAAGTTAAACCTTTTTGTTCTACTGACCAAATGATGGTGGTTATTAGAGTATTTTTAATCATGGATTTCTATTTGCTTTTATCGTTGAAGTTCTTGCTAATAAATTTTGTTAGCATTGGTGGTAAATGTGGGGTTGATTTCGTTTGATTCATCTTGGTGTTGTCTCAGTTTGAGAAGAGGTGAGCAGTCTCACTGGGTATGCCATAAATATGTGAAAACAAGTTGTGTTTGGATTTTTTTTTTCCCTGTATAGACCCTGTCCAGATCAATTGTGAACCAGGAGCAATAAGAAATCTTGATCAAGCAGCTTTGTCTTTCCTGTTTCAGTCCCCCTGTGTCTTTGTTGTTGTGGTGGTGGTGGTGGTTGTATAGTATCGATCAGTTTTGGAGAATTAGCAGACGAATTGAAGACGTGCACTTGTCACAACATATAATAAGTTTTCGTCATGAAATTTAACATCATCATACCTTTGTCAATGCATGTCCACCTTTCATCTCCAAGTTTGCAGTAGGCCAAGTTACAATGCTCACAACCATAGATGGCAGCACCCATACAATTAGGTTTAGTAGGAGTTGAATTTGTGCACAAAACTTGTGCTTACAAAGTAAGTTTTTGTGTGGCCATCATCATCATAGGTTTCAAGCTCATATACTGGGTGAGACTTTTCTGGTGGACGGTATTATATCACATCAGGAAAAGTTATACCGCGGTGGAAGGGCGATTAGAACCTTGGTGAATGGGTTATATAGAGAGATTCTAGGAGAGTAATCATTACTAGAAACTAACCAACTGTACCAAGGACCTCTGGAATAAAGTCGAGGTAGTGAACCTTTGTTTCATGTAAACAAAGAAACTTTTCACGTATTTCATTATCGTCATCACGATACAGTAGACGCCACGGATGTGAAGGACGAATACTTAGCAATATAGACAGACCTCCATGAAGTACAAACAGACTTGATCAGTAAATGTAACAAGGCAATTAGCTATTAACCTCAACAGATCCTCTGACCACATTTT